GGAGAAAACTTGTACACGTTGGATTTATTAAAGCTAGTTGCTCTAGCTATACTTGTCGCCTCTGATTTCCTTATCGATAACTTTGCCTGATGCCGTTTCATAAAATGACGCATCCACTCTTCTCCTAGTGATATAGTCTACTAATCTGTTTTCTTCTTCTGAAGAGAAAACTTTCTTTACGTCCAAATTACATTTGTATGTAAATTCTTCTCCGTCACTATTACGGTGTGCTCGAAGATGTCGTGATAGTGTAGCAACTGACACTTTATAGACCTTAGCAGCTTCTCTCAAAGAAATGTTTTCTTCTTGATCCCGAGTGACTGCTAATATAGCTTGCTTAAGGTTTTCGGTATTAACTGGTGGTCGTTTTACTCCTACTTTACTTCTTGGGATTATCAAACATGAAACAACGTATTGAGTTAGCAATGAAGATAATTCTTAATCCTAAATTACTTGGTTATTGAATTATATAGTGTTTCAAGGTACACGATGGATGATGTTTCAAGGTACAAGAGATGACTCCATTTTATAAATTGTTTTTATATTCTCTCCAGAACCATGATAATAAATTGTAAACCTACTGAATATACCAAAAAATGGTTGTAATTTTAACTGTAGAAAATGAAATATTTACCTTGTGCCGTCTAGAAGTAATTTGCCACTATTTCACTTTTAATTTTCGAACGAAAATCGCCTAGTTCACAAAACACTAAGTAAACGCTACGTTTAACAGAGAAAACCACACTGATAAGATAGGTACGATACATGGTGCACTTCTCTGAGAAACATGACCACTAGAGAGCGACGCCTACTTTCACATATATTTAAAGGGCGCCAAAATATTTCCGGCACGCGGGCGGCGATAACCCTTGCGGGGGCCCTACCAACATATTAGTATTCAATTCACTAACAATTCAGCTCGTGACACTTAGTCCCCTACATAATTCATTTCTAGAGCAGTTTTATTACAAATAGCACCATACTAATATGTAAGTTTTATTTCACTTTTTTGAATAATTGTAAAAAATTCCATTTATATTTTTAATTCTTGTTTTGTATTTGTTAGTATTTTGCAAAAATAATTTCTTTTTTCTGTAAATTACTAGCACTACTTTAACTGGCTAGGTATTTTACATAAACATTTTCCTTTAAAGTAAAAAAAAACAATTCGTCATAATTTATTTTTTATTTCCCACTTAAACTTTAGAATCAATATGTACATCAGAAATGAGAGGAATTTTTAATTTATAGGTCTTGTTCCAAGGATTGACATCTGTGGATTTTGTTTTTATCCATGATCGTAAATCTAATCTAAACACTCACGTTGGGAAAAAAATTTAACTAAATCAATAAAAAAAGAATATTTATATACCTATGTACATCAACCAAAAGAACACGACAAACCAGACTAATTCTAAGGTCAATTGTAATTGATAGGAATATGAACCAACAAAAACAATTTTAACCCACGATAAAAATTTCATAAAAATTAACTATAAATATATACAACTTGTTACTATTTCCATCAGGCAAGATTTAGGCTCTCTTTGTCAAAACGAAAACCTTTATTTAATGACTAGTCGTTTACTAAAAAGTCTAAAAACGTTGATTTGTTTTATGTGGATGTTATAATTAAACAGATGAGCAGAAATAAACAATAAAACTGTTAATACTCGTAAAAAATCATCACAAAGTGATGCTTTCTCTCATATCAGTCGTCTTCAGCTTTTATCTTATGTTGATAAAAGGTTCATTTAATCAGAACTGGTTTTGAAAACTTTTACAAGCGAGGAACTTGATAGGTTTTATTTTAAAAAGTTAACAAACTCGTAGTCAATTTTACATCCTGTTATGTATTGGAACGCACCCTTTATAATATTGTAAGTTGGCAATGTTGTGCATATGACACGTCTGTCACTTATCTTTTGTTTTGAAATAAAATGGTTGTATTCTGTTTTAAATATATATAAATATCTAAAGTTATCCTGCATTTTAATTAACGATATAACACATCCAACAATATAATATTTTGAGGTAAGCTTGAAAATAACCATTATTCAACAAAAGGAAATTTTACACAAGTTAATTTTTTCATGGGTTTACTCGGAGGTCAAAACCGAGTGGTGAACCACTCCCGAAATACTGGCGAATTTTTACTAGAAATCACTACAAATTCTCTCCAAATTTGTTGCTTAGAAATATAAACGCGCAGCTTGAGAAGAATCCAAAAAAAGTCTAGCAAACATCAAGAGAAAAAAAAGTCTTTTGAATATTCAAGAAGACAATAATTGAGGCTATTCAGCACTTTTTAATGCATATAAGCCTGTAACTCAAACTTTAGTCTAGCTGTTAACTCCAAACCCGTAACCCTAAAACCCTATAAATTCATAAACCTATAATGCAATAACCCCATAACCTTAAAACAACGCCGTAATTCACAGCCACAAAAAAAATTTCATTCGATCAATCTTAATTTGTGTTTCGTTTTACCCCCTAAAAACCCAAAATAAATGGGCTGTTTGGAAAGTTACAGACTTATATGCATTAAAAAGTGCTGAAAAGACTCAATTATTGTGTTTTTTGAGGTTATAGCAAAACAATGACGTGATAGAGTTAAACGGACCCCGGATTCCAATTTAAAGGCCACAAAAACATAGAAAACATGGTCTGATACACACACCCGAAATATCTTTTTTTGTATGGCTGTAAATTATAGCGTTTTTTAAGATTATGTGGCTATTATGAGTTAATGGGGTCATAAGGTTAAGGACTTGAAGTTAGCGTTTGGCTTTTGTGTTTAAAGGTTGAGTCACAGGCTTATATAGGTTAAAAAGTGCCGAAAAGCCTCAATTATTGGGGTTTTTGAGGTTATGGCAAAACCCTAACGTGATAGGAAATGGACCCATGATTCGAATTTAACGACCCCAAAAACATATAGAAAACACGGTCTGATCCCCAGGCTCAAGAAAAAAAATTTTGTGTGGCTGTGTTATTTATTTTTTTTGTGTCATCGGCTTCAACTACCAGGGTTATTTCGCCTCGTGTTCTGTGTAGGCTTTGTTACTGTTTCCCAGCGCCACTTTAGGAACAACACTGTTAATTTAAGACCACAAGGGAAAAAGGGGGAATGTCACAATATATTGTTACGTTGTAATCGTCACTCCCTTTTTATAATTACAATATTTAATTAGTTCAAATATTCCAATATATTCTAATACTTTTTGAGCACCCCTCGTATTTGGAAATATGGATATTATATTAACTGGGGGAAATTATCTCTGTCTAAAGACATTCTATGGCTCAACCAATGGTGCGCCTTCTCTAAAAATCAATAATTACTGTCAGAGGTCGTGCGCACCTGTGGAATACATCACGTTTTCGTTTGCTTTATTATTTATTTTCTATCTTGCAGCCAAACAAACCGGTTGTTTTAATTTAGTGCTTTGTTAAGTGTTTCCGAACTAACTAAGGTAACAGAATCATTTTTTTTTATAATGAATGGTAGAAATTAATTTTATTATGTGTGTATATCCTGGTGAAATTATCTGTGAGTTATTTCATTCACTTATTTTCGAGATTTCCGCGTAATATGAGAACCACATGTAATGTACAAAATGGCTGCCATTAATTTTATATTATTTTTTTTTCTCGGTTATTTAAAAAAAATCTTTCCATTCTTCATGTATTTTAATTTAAATACTATTGCAAATCTCTAGTATTGTTGTAAACTTGAAATGTTCTATTTAAAAATGTTTAATTTAAATAGTAAGCTTTTATCGTTGACTTGTAGGCTGACCACATGTTTTTTTTTAAGCAATGGAAAGATACGTTTTTTTTTGTTGTAACTGACACGTTTTTTCTTTCTTAAAAATTAAGGAACTGGCTCTGTAAGGAATTGGCCTTTATAACTAAGAACTCGTAGTATACAGAATGTCTAAAATCATCGTAGGATGAGCTACATCTAGAACTGCAGAATATGTCTGAAGTCATCGTAAGCTGAGCTAATCTAGAACTGCAGAATATGTCTAAGTCATCGTAGGCTGACCTACAGTTAAGAGAGCGACACGGACCAGTTCGACCGTTGAAATCCGGAAACACACAAGATAAGTGTCGGCCAGGACCACACACACAATTTTTGAGTCAAAGTTATACTAGTCAATTTTAATTTTAAACGTATTATCAGTCAAATAACGTAAACCGTAAAATTTGTTAAAATCAATAAATTTCATTTTCTTTTTTATTGTTAATATCACTCATTCATGAATTAATTTTAAATTAAAGCCGATTAATTGTTTAAATGAATTAATTTTAAATTAAAGCCGATTAATTGTTTAAATGAATTAATTTTAAATTAAAGCCGATTAATTGTTTTGAAATTTAAGTTCTTTTATTTTCCTTACTTTCAACTGACAAGTTAATGGCAAATTTACTTTTATTGTACATCTAAAGGTATGGCGCCCAAATTAATTTAATTAAATTCTTTTAAGTCTTTTTAATTAAAGACCTTGTCATTGACTTGAAGGTAAATTCTAAATGAATCCCACTGACCCATTTTGATCTGAGCTAGGCCTGAGGCTTGTAAGAATTCTTATTGTAAGGATTTTTACAATGGGACCCAGGTAAGGGTTATAAAGAGTTAACGTATCATCTGGTGCAAAATATGTTTTTATAACATAACTTTTATAACGTAACAATATCAAAAATTGAGCTGATACCGCTATCTTTTAGCTAATGCCGATATTTTATTATAACCAAACCTCCAAGACAAGAAGCTAGTATAGTCACCTAATATTAGTGATTTTAAATATCAGGCACAGGGGAATAACGAGGAATGTCCACATTATAAATGATATAAAGGGGAAATGTCCAAGTTTTGTATTCGATCGCTATTATCGTAAACTTTTAAAGACAGTATCATTTAGTTGTTTGGACGTGTCACACGTATTGTTGAATTTTTTGCAAGTCAGTGCCTGTTTTAATATACCTAAATAAATAGAAAAATGGAAGAATTAGAAGAACAGCAGAGCGAAGTATTAAATATTAGGAAGTTTAGGAAAAGATCAAGTCATGGGCGACTTCGAGATGTTAATAAAAAACTAAAGTTAACGACTCATGAATTAGGGGACGATTGTATGTGTAAGAGACTAAAGTGTTTTCAAAAAATCACTATTAAAGAAAGACAAGTCATTTTAAACAACTTTAATCAACTGAATTCAACTACCCAACAAAATTTATACTTATGTGGACTAATATCATGTAAGACTATCCAACGAAGACGTCCACGAAAATCTGAAGATACCGCATTACTGCACGACAAGTCTTATTTATATCATGTCAAAATTAAAAGGGACGCAGATATTTTGGAGATCCCTGTATGTTATAAGGCTTTTTGTCCATACATGGCATTACTAAAAAGAAAATGGAGTACCTACAAAAATCTTTGAAAGCAACAGGTACTTATCCTACCAATTTAAGAGGTAAGCATTCAAATCGGCCTACAAAAAAGTCTGAAGAGACTATTGAAAGTGTAGAAAGTCACATACGATCATTTAAAGGATGTAAAAGTCACTATAGCCTTAAAAAAACAGATCGCCTATATTTAAGTGAAGACCTTAACATTGCAAAAATGTATAAATTGTATGGTGAAACATCTCCAGATCAACCAGTTTCATATGAATTTTACAGAAAGACATTTAATACAAAATTTAACATTGCTTTTGGTTATCCACGTAAAGATATCTGTAGTGCTTGCGATCAATATACTGCTACTAAAAAAGACTTAACGCTAAAACTTAAGATTACACGATCTCCTGAAGTTACTATTAATTTACAAAAATCTTTACAAACATTAGAAAACGAAAATATGCTACATAAAAAAAAGCGCAGGTATTTTACGATAGAAAGCGTGCTTTGAAAATGCAATGTCAAAAAGATGGTGAAACTGAAGCCATTTGTATGGATTTCGCAAAAAATTTTCAAGTTCCAAACATTACTACAAATGATGTGTACTACAAAAGGCAGTTATCGCTTTATTTGTTTAATATACACATTTTGGCAAACGACGAGGTTGTATTTTACGTATATCCCGAAACAGTTGCTAATAAGGGAAGCTCACTTATTGAAAATTTTCTAGTTCGAGGAATTGAGCACTTGGAAATATTTTGTGATTCCTGCGGAGGTCAGAACAAAAATTATAATCTAATCAAATACATACATTATATTGATAATGTACGAAAGAAACTGGAGTCTGTTAAAATTACTTTTCCAATTCGAGGACATTCCTATTTAGAATGCGATAGGGATATGGCAGTTATAAACCAAAAATATGCTGCTGAACTCCACATCATTGGATACAAGAAATTGAAAAATCTAAGATTAAGCCATCATCGTTTCATGTAGAGGACCTTGAAAATAATCAGGATATTATCAGGGATTGGAAAACCTTTTTTGAAAAATTAGATTATAAGAAAAAGTGTCCGTTTCCTACACGCCCTATAAGGGAAATAAAAACCAGCGATGAGCATCCGCGTCTGATTTTGCATAGATCGTCATTTAATGGAGCATGGGAACAATCCGTTATATTCCCCCCAAACAGAAAAGGATAAATCAAGAATTAAACAAGCACGAATTTTTGTATCCTGACCGCAAGTATGAAGGTAAGATTATTTAACTTTCTAATAATTGTTTACTCCTAACGCCATGAATCTATTTTTTTAAGGTCTTGTACCTATATCTACTGATAAGTTTCAAGATTTGCAACATCTGAAAAAGTTGTGCTCCGAAGAAACTCAACAATACTACGATAAATTACCTTATTCTGACAAAATTCAGGTTTTATTTTAGGACATTCCTCGTTTTCTATTGTATATTTTATTAATGTAGAGACATTCCCTGTTTTTACCGTAATACGTTTTTTCATTATTTTACTTATTTGGTAAACAAAAAAAACTTTAAATTTATTTACTAATTAAGGATCCTAAAGGTTTTAAACTTTAAAATACGTTTTTCTCGAAACTTACTTTTTGTGACATTCCCCATTTTTCCCTTGTGGTCTTCAATTCGAACCCAACAGTGATTATTTTTTTGCCAAACTTCATATTTTTGACACTAAAACTTGCCAAACAAACAATTGAACATATTTTGCGGTTATTCGCATTTTACATAAAGCCGGCTACTCACTACGCGTTACTTGCCGAGTTACTTGACTTGGACTGCACTTGGCAAGTACTTGTTCGAGTACAAGTAAATCGTCTACATCTACGCACGCTTTCTAAAGTAGTAGTAGTAACTTTACGCGGATCCTTTGACTTCGGTCCGTTTACCGACAACCGACGGGAGGTACAAGTAACTTGCTCTATACAAGTCTCCATACACATTACATGGTACTTGCAAAGTACTTGGCAAGTAACGCGTAGTGAGTAGCCGGCTTAAAAACCACGCACTTTGGTATAAAATTTCATCAGATCGAAGTTGTAGTGCGAAATATCGAAACTATAAAATAGTTTCTTTTGGAAAACCATCGATTCAGCTGCTACAGCACATGCGCGGAAAGCGAGTCGTTTTTTTAATAAATGTAGTTGCAACATTATGAATTATGAATTTTACCAAACTTATTATTTTTTCTGTGTTTACGAACAATACGAAAAAATGACACACTTTCCGCGCATGCGCTATAGTGGCGAAAATTATAGGTTTCCAGGAAATCTGTTTTATAGGTTCGATAGGAAAATTTTCTATACTACAACTTTGCTCTGATGAAATTTGTCACCAAAGTGCGTGATTTTCATGTAAATGTGAAGAATCGCAAAATGTATTTTTTTGGGGCGCTTTAGCAGCAAAAATATGAAGTTTGGCAAAAAATGTATAGAGACATAATCGATAGCAAATCGTTGGTTCTATAAAAAAAATCTAGTAAATTTTTTTTTCCAAGTAAAATACAAAAAACTGGAAAAAAGAACCGAAAAATGTATATATTATATAAAGAGTGCCATGCGGCAGACGCATGGATTTGAAGAGGTAATTGCTCACTTCCGATTGGTCCTAGACGAAAGTGGAGTGGTTCGAAAGAGGGGGAAGGGAAGTTTATTTTCCACGCTTGGCCAGTAGCCATATGAAGCGTGCCTTCTGTTAAAAGTTCAATATAGCTCCCCGTTACCGAATTTTATGTCGAAATCGAATTCTTTCGAGGATTAATGGATTTCAGGATTCCGGAAATGGGTCCACGGTAAGAAGGGAGCCTCAGATTACCGTTACTACCCCCATAAAACACCGAAAAGGTTCGAGCTGTCCTTGCACAATCTCCAAGATGTTCAGTTCGGAAAGAGGCAGGTGCCCTAGGCATTTCAAGACGTTCTATTCAACGTATCGTTAAAGAACATCTTCATTTGCACCCCTACAAGATGGTTGTAGTCCAAGAATTGAAGCCATGTAATTTTGAAACCAGAGCATTCTAGTGAAAACCTGCTTGCTGCATTGCCTCGAGACGGTACCGTTTTCTTCTCTAACGAGGCACATTTTCACCTCAGTGGATGTGTAAATAAATAAAATATGCAATATTGGAGTGATACGAATCCTTGGGAGCTCGACCAGAGGCCCCTGCACTCTGACTATTTCAAAAATTGGGATCATCGGCCCTTACTTTTTTGAAGAAAATGATCGAGCGGTTACGGTCACTTCTGCACGTTACCTGACCATAATCCAGGATTTGTTCTTACCTCAGTTGGAAGGGGAGGAGCTAGAGCCCACACAGCAAGAATTTGCGAGATGACTCCTCGGGCGCCTCATCAAGTGGCAATTTAAACTGGCCAACACGCTCTCCTGATTTTTTTCCTGTAGGGATACCTAAAATCCTTGGTTACAACGATCGTTCCAGGATTCAGGACAACATCAAGAACAACATTCGTAAATCGTAATCCATGTGGCAATGCTTCAAAGAGTGCATGTAAACTTCAAAAAAAGGCTTACTCGTTGATTAGAGTATAGGATGCGCCATTTGACCGATACTTTGTTCGAAACTGGTTAAACATAAATTTTTGGAAAAATAAAAAAATTATCGTTTTGTAACAGTCTGCGTCTTATCTCATTTTTAAATCCATGCGTCTGCCGCCCATCACCTTGTATAATACCTTCTTCCGATCATTCTCTTTTTTGCATAGGGAAATTTTATTAAAAGCAGTCAAAACCTTCATTGCAATCTGCATATCTATACTGTGCTAAACATTTTCGTTTCAAGGTAATTTTTTTGTTTAATTCAAGTGGACTATATTATACATTTTTACGATTTCTATGATTTCTGAATCACTCATAATTCAATGAGTTTGCCGAAATCCCCGTTAATTTTGCCGAAATCCTCCTTAATTTCGCCGAAATCCCCCTTAATTTCGCCGAAATCCTCTTTAATTTCGCCGAAATCCCCTTTAATTTCTCCGAAATCATTATACAGAATTTCCCCTAATCATTATTATTGTACTATTTCGGGAAAAAAAAATAAAATTTTCTCGAGGAATATTCAAGGAACCTTTTTTGCTCTTCGCTCGTTTTTCTGATCCACTTGTTTACTCAGATGGGCGTTTTGATTTTGGAATGTCGGCCATGTTTTCGGAATTTCGGTAACGATTTCGAAATTAGGGTATTTCCGTAATGATTTAGGAGATTTTGATAGATTTTTTTAAGTGATTCCGAGTGATAACGTACCAGTAACTCGGGAGTGGTTCACATATCGGTTTAATTAGATTACAAAACACTACTTGTGTATAAAATCATACTCTCAAAACATGTTTTACTAATGTATACAAATCGATTACAAAAATTACTTTATACATCTATTAATTTTTTTCTATTTTATCTATTGTAATGCTAAAAATTAAATTTTACCACATTCAAATGTTGCTTAAACAGACTTAGAGCCGTTTGCACCGATTCAACTTTCGATTACGGTTTAGCTAAGGTGTGTCTTGACTTAAAATGAACCTTAAATTTGGTGTGGTTTGCAAAATCTGAAGAGCATCTTGTCAACAGTGTATTTACAGAAGGAATTTTTATATTACTAATCAGTACCAATGTCATGTATTTGATTTATCTTTTAATATTGCATTATCTGTATTTTAACAGGAAAATATGTGGATTAACATTAAATTAAAAAGTGGAACCAAACTTGCTCCAAATTATTTAATTTTATCTGTCGCGGTAAACATTAATTCATCTAAATCGTCATTAGAGATTGGCAAAATAATCGATTTTTTTTTAACCGATAATCGATTAATCGGTTATTTTCGATTAATTGATTATTTTCGAGTAATCGATTATTTCTTTTTTATATTCGATTTCGATTAATCGATTAATTAAAATAATCTAATTATAGTTTAATCCAATAATCGACTTTAAAGGTAATACAAAAATATGAATATTCTTTCATTCAAATAATTCGATTATTTCAATTAATGGATTTTGATCAATTTATTCGATTATTTCGATTAATCAAAAAAAATCGATTATTTAAAAAATGATAATCGATTATTTATTTTGATAATTGCCCAGCCCTAGTCGTCATTATCATCATCATATCATCATCGTCGTAGTAGTCGTTTTCGAAAATATTTTCAAACAATTCCATTTATACTTAATTTTAACCACATTTTTATCTAATTTTACTTATTATATTATTCTTACCTATTGATTGACACATTTCAGTTTGACGTTAAAACAATGCAAAGTAAAACTTAAACAGACTGATACCTTCAGCTATTTGGGTTGGTGGTCAGAAAATCAAATGTAATACTCAATTTTGAGGTTCACTTAAGAAAAAGTGGTGCAAACGACTCTTACAGTCTTATTCACAAACGATCTATAAACATATCTGTAAGTTACAGATCAGTAAACTCGAGGGGTAAACCAGTAAGGTTAAAACGTACCTGTTGAATTAATTACATTCAACAAATTGCAATCGTCGCTGCACTCAGTATTGCATTAAATATACACCAAGCTATCATCCTGGAGACGTATCTGTAAGCGGCACTGCCTTGGTCGATAATAAAAGTCTCAAAACAAATAACTACGTCACAGGCATCATTTACTTCTTGTCCACTTCTTATTAGTTACCGCTATTCGCGGCTACCACTTTCATTGGTTTGCGCCACAGGCGTTATGCACTTGTTATTGGTCAACGTCAAGCGTAACTCTCAAGCTCGCTTAACGGCTTATCTCCTTCTTCGCGCCAGAGCTTCAATACCTCTCAACGAAAACAAAAAGGCGACGCCTCGTCCGCCATCACGTAATACACCTATTATGCCTGAAAAATGGCTTAAGTAACAAATTTCGTAGAGAAATACTCCGATTCCCCGCATCATGTTGATTTCAGAGCGCAAAAGTATTAATTTCAGTGATGATTTCGATGGTTTCGGAATTTTCGAAATATTATTAAGCGATTTCGGTAGTTTCGAGTGAAAACGTACCAGTATTTCCGGAGTGGTTCACCCCACGAGTAAACTATAATGAATGTCTAATAGAGTTAGATCATATTTCACTAACTAGTATTTAATTACCAACTGATATTTAAAAATATCGCTAACCTGGAATTATTTACATGTCTTCCATCTATTTTAAGTAAATTATCATATTGTTGGTGAGAAGAGCTAAGCCACATTTTTAGGTAAAATAAGATAACTATTTTATATGAATAAAAACACTATGAAAAATAGAGTGGTGAAAAGAGCTAAGCAATTTTGTTATTAATAACCTTAAAATCTGACAAGTGAAAATATATACATACATTTGTTTCAGTGGCAAAATATGTATAAGTAATATAGAGGTATAGTCCTTCCATTATCAATTGCAGAACACAGTTATGTGGGGAATCATTAATATTTAATACATAAACACGGTACTCATGCCAAATTAAGAAACGAAAAATAATGTTTACTCCCTTATACAAAGCGATAAATATTAAACGAACCATCAGTTGTTTACCAATAAAAACATCGAATCGTAAACTTAAATGCACTGTATTGGCCGAAGGTTTAAGGAAGGCAGGTGTTCGAAAATATTCCTGGAAGACAGTCTGCGATATCAGTGGAGTACTGTCGTGCGGTGTGTTTTGTATGTGTGGTTGGTTTAATTTAAATTTCTTTTAATAAATATAAATATGGCGTTCTTTAGACCATGGGCGAATGAAGAAAATGAAATTGCAGTGTAGTGAGATTAAAGACAGGTATGACTTTAACAATAAGGATTTAGATATACAAACACAACAAGTTATTTTAAATATATTCGAATGTTTAAAAAAGGAAAATATTCAGCAGTCTGATAATGCATTCATAATAACAATTGCTGAATTAACTAAAGTAAATAAATTTTCCGTTTATCCGGTAGTCACGAAAGGGGTTGCTGTGGATTATTCATAAAACCGAAAAACATGTAAAGAAAAACTGAAATCAGTTGACAGAGCTACCCAAGATTTTATACGAAAGACAATTTATAGTTTATATAAGGAGAACAGGGTTTCGACATTGGAAGTAATACAGCAAAAGGTGGCAGATTTTCCAGGATACACTTATACCAGTTTGGAAACATTGCGTCAAGTTTTGTCAGCATGTGGTTTTAAACACAAAAAATTGAATAAACAGATGGCAATCACCGAATCGTCAAGGATAGTTCAATGGTGACAAGATTATTTGTGTCAGATAAAAGGCTACAGAAGTTCTAATAGACACATAATTTATCTAGATGAAACATGGTTTGACAGTCACGATGTAGTAAATTTCGGTTGGGTTGGCAGTAGTAAAAATTGCTGTTTGAATGGGCCATGTTCTAAAGGGAAACGCATTATAATAGTACACGCTGGAAGCAAAGACGGTTTCGTGCCTAATGCTTTATTATTATCTGCTAAACAAATTAAAAACTGTGCAGCTGATTATCATGAAGATATGACAGCAGAATTATTTGAAAAACGGTTTAATGAACAGCTTTTACCTTACATTCCACCACAGTCAGTAATCGTTATGAACAACGCATCCTACCACTCGCGGCAACTCCTTAAAATACCAAATAGTAGCAGTAAAAAATCTCAAATTTTAGCTTTTATGTCTGAAAAAAATATTCCTATTACTGCCAGTGATAGTAAAAAAGGACCAACAAACAAAAAATTGCTTACTGTTATTAAAGGTATAGTTACAAAAAATGTATTATATTGACAAGCTGTGCAAACTCTTCTCAGGCTACCTCCTTACTATTGCATATGTAACCCTATAGAGTTAATATTGGCAAACTTAAAATCAGAATTACGAAAATGTAATCAGTTTCCAGAACTGAGTAAAGAAGTTGTAGTACTCGTAAAGAAAGTTCTAGCAGCAGACCGCCAAGAGCTTTGGAAAAACTGTGTTGAACATGTTATCAAAGAAGAAGATGAGTATGTAGTATTACCCTCTTTACAACCCATCATAATTCAACCAAATGATGACTATAGTTCAGAGGATTCAGACTGCCATGATTATTTATAAAGATACTTTAGAATTGAATTACTTTTTTTCTTTTGTTTTATTTGCAAAGAATTTATTTTCCTTTATGGTTTTTTCTTTGAAATTTCGTTTTCCAGAAAAAGAACGAATGGGGTACAAAAAGGGTTCAGTTCACGCCCTTACAAGCGGTACACTTTACTCGCTTTTTTACGTTTTATAATTTAATATTTAGTTGTAGCAAGTTAACGAGCTATAATGATTTTTTTTTAAGTCCAAGTAAGATTACAATTAAGTTCATCTGTCTAAATAAGGGCGTATAATAACGTCCAATTTATAATTATTCGATTTCCTTTTAACGAATACTTTCTTTTTCTTGAATATGATATATATATATATATATATATATATATATATATATATATATATATATATATATATATATATATATATATATATATATATATATTAAAAGTATTAATAAAATAAATTTATAAAATGAGGTAGGTATCTACGCCTATGGCAGATCAAACAAAATTATCGGTAAATGTTCCGAACGAGTTTTTATGATCTGCAATTGATAATGGAAGAACTATAGTATGAAAGGTAGTGGATTATCTCGTGATGAATTTACAAACTCAGCCCTATTCAGTGGCGCTACGAAAGGGGGTTTAGACCATTTTGAAATTGAAAAAGTTAAACTAGGTAAAAAATTATATGTTTTAAATATTCCAAATTTTTTTTCAAAACCCCCTCCCCCTAATACAAAATTATGGCTGCGCCACTGGCTCTATTAACATTTCTAACACAATCAGCATTCCTATTCGAAGCATGATAAATATCGTGTCTAGACAATTTTGTTATGGTTCAGTGAAGTTTGTATTTTTCCCATTAGTTAATTATTGTTTAATATTTAGGCAGGCTACCTAATTACTTTTAAGACTGAATTGGTAAGTTAATTGAAAATTATTTGAAATATAATTTAAAAAAAAAAACCTAAAGACGTATTGTCGTCGTTTGTCTGTCTGTCCATCGAATTTCACTAATACAGAAACATTAACTTTCCTCTGTTGAATTAAGTCGGAAAATTTTAAATTTTTCTTCCAAAATTAGGGAAATTTTGGGTCGAAAGCTTCTCCGGGAAAAACTTTGTTGCTTGAAAGAGGCGACAGAGCAAAAAAGACCTTAAGAAGCATTGTCCGAATCGACGGAACGCGTCGTAAAATTTTCGCGTTCGTTCAGAAATTTATAAAGAATTCAAGGTAATAGTATACTATTTAACGAGCGGGTAATGATAGCTATTACTCACGAGTAAAATACTATACATTCTCTATGACTATTTAACAATTAGGTATTCCAACCTGAATGGCTACCAGTGGGTTTTGACAGATATGATATGGCAAAATTATGGCAACCCTGTAGGCCTGGTGATTTGACAAGGTCAATGGATAGATAGTTACATAGATTGATCATCCATATTTTTCAAAATAAACATAAGCTTATGCCTTGAAGTAAAAATGTAAGCAATTATTTTTTTTTAATTATTTAAAGGCTGAAAATTGGTTTTAAAACACATTTTTGCTAAACCGATTCAAATTAATAAATATTTACCAGGCAATATGGCCGCTCGCAAACGACCAGCTTTGAGCAATCTATATAACTATATATGTATCATTGACCCTGTTAATGACAACAGGGTTGCCATGTCTAAACTGTCAGTCCCCAATTGTAGCCATTTGGACCACCGACCTTGATATTAAACTGGATGGCTATATGACATAAACCCTACTCCTATTTTCTCAGCCGACATGGGTGAAAAAAACGGTCGGTGCGCATGACAATTTGTGCGCCAGACTGTCAATTTTAAGCATTCTACGTCACATTTTTCACGGGCGTACTATGATAAATTATATTATTTTTTAT